CAACAACCGCAGCAGCAACAGCAGCAGCAGCAGCAGCAGCAGCAGCAAGTAAGTTCGGTGTCGTCAACCTCTTCCGCCACCGAACTAATCTCTGCTGATGAAAAAGCAGTCATATCAGGTATTTATCAACACTACTTCCGCGCAATGCGCGCTCACAATCATCAGCATCGACAGCAACAGCAGCAACCGCAGCAGCAACAAGCAACGCAGCAACATCGAACGACTCATCAGATTCATCATCAACCTCACCAAAGCGACCGAAGTTCCTCCTCGTCGGTGACACCAACGGTTACGTCAATATCCGGCATATTACGGCAGACTTATCAACAGACGTATAATGCGACGAATTCGAGTTCGTCAAGTCATCTACGGGCAACAACGGCCTCAGTGGTCGGGCATCATCCGTATAGGCGACCGTCGACGACGTTACGTGCAACGTCGCACATTGGTCAACAGGCTTCTTCCTCTTCTTCCTCGTCCTCTTCCTCCTCGACGTCGATCGGTGCTTCCAGCAGCGTTTCTTCTGGTGGCGTTTCCAGTGTATACGCGAGCACGATACACAGGCATCATGCCACTTCGCTACACGCCCTTCAAGCGGCTGGTTTTTACGAAACGCCTGGTTATCATGCGCTTTTGCCGCAGAGTTAGGTGTCTACCAGCAGCGTGAACTCGCTCGAGACCGACCCTATTGCCAACCTTCATTTATTCACCTAATCCGGCTACAAAGCTGTGCGCTCTCTCTTCCCTATTGTACGACTTATCTTCCATACTCGTTAAAGCGCATACGGGTTGGTCTAACTCTGCCTAGTACACTCGGGATACATCTATCTCTGCGACATACACGCTACTTCTCCCTACGTGTATTCACTGTATATACGTAAATGTGTGTATGCATACGTATATACGTGTATGTATGTATCGTCGTCGACGCAACGATCGTACGTGCCGTGCTCTCCGTGTTGGCAGTAGTGTGCGGGTGGCCGGACGGACGGACGGACGGACGGACGAGCAGAAAGCCACAGAATAAACACACGACGCATACACACCACCACCACCACCATCACCGCTATTATACACAGATATACATTCAACCAGAGACAGATGGATGGAACCACGAACAACTGAAATGGTCGCCTATGTAGGCATCGACCAATTTCATCCACCTGCAATACGTGTGCGCTTCTCAGGTATAAAAATCCATTTGCTTAGGTCTTGTATTAACGTTTTATTATTTTTTAGTCATACACTTTCAGCCAAAGACACGAGATTTCCTCCGCGTAAATTCTTGAAACTCGAATGCCTTTCTTTAGCCGGGCAAACATCGTGTACACGCGATCCTTCTCTCGTTGTATGCCATCGCTGCTGGTAGTCACGACGACGGTGGCGACCGCGGCGGCGGCGACGGTCCCTTTTTCTCATCCTTCATCTTTGAATACCGACGGATCGCGTACACAATCGGTCAACAATAGTATTTTTTCAGATATACGATCGATATACATACAATTTAGTCGCATTTTCAAACGAATTATACATTATTCATTATATCCCCTAACCAGCGAATAACTTTGATTTCACTTCAGGTCTTCTCTCTGCTTATATACTCGGATCCGATCGACAATCATTGTAATCGCAAGTGCCAAAATCTGAATGCAACGTTATTTATACATTTTCCGATAGAGTACAAGCGCAATTTTTTTTTTTTCTTCGAACAAAAACCACATACAAGACACTTGTCTTTTTTTTTTTTCTTTACTTCTTTTTCCTGCGAGCATGCACAGGAAACGACAATGTGACGTAGCAATTGCATTTGTCCTGCTCTAACGGAACGTCCGTTTCTCGTTTCGTCCTTTCTCCCAGAACGCTTCTCGTTTCTTCGTTCGAACTTCTTTGTTTTTCTCCATCTCTGTCCGTCTCTCGGAACGGAACATCTCTAGAAAGGCGAGAGAGGTCCGAGAGAGAGTCGGGGCAGCAGGATTTCTTCTTTTTTGTCCTGCGCCCTTTTCAAAGAGCGCGCTCAAGGAGAAACGGACGGGGACCGTATTTCGTTACACGGTAACGATCGATCAACGTGACCGCACGACCGCACTGGCGGTACGGGCGAGCCGTGGCGAAGCGAGACGAAGCGAGGCGAGGCGAGGCGAGGCGAAACGAGACGACGACGAGTCGGGACGAACGGTCGGGACGGGACGGGATGGGACGGATCTGGGCGGTTACGGGACGTGGGGAGTACGAGGGACGCGACCAAACCAGACGAGAAGGGGGCGCGGTCAAGATGGGGATCGGTATATAGACGAAACCAAGAGACTGCTCGCACGCATCGGAGGGAGCGGGACGCGTCGCCGCGTGTTCCGAAAACACTGACGACCGCGTACACGGATGGACGTTAGACTAACAGCCGCTAATGTGAACCTGCGACTCCTATAATTTCCAACCGTCGTGCGTCTCGCAGAACTTTGGAAAATTGGTTAGAAGGGGAGAACTAGATAGATTGGAAGTAAACTTCTTCGGGAATACTCGAAGAAATAAAAAGGGGAAGAAATATGAAAGTCACGTTTCGTTGCTTCATTCGATAAAAAAAAAAAAACCTCTCTCGATAGGATCGATCGATTCTAATAAATTTCTTTTCGTGAATTTTTCATTCACCACTCCCTTTCATGTGACTGACTTTAACGACCTGTTTTCTCCGATTGTTACAATAATGTGTTAAAAAAGACTGCTCGCAAATAGTTTATTTTTGTAGGAAAAACTCGTGTATTTTCGTGCGATGTTTCCCGAAAAGAGATTCGTGGAAGAGATCCAAAGAAAAAGAGAAAAAAAAAGAAAAAAAACTGTGAATAAAATAGAAAGAGGAGGAAAGGGTCGTATCGTCTACAGTGTATCGCGGTGTGTTATCCTCTTAAGCGCGTATTGCGTTTGACACGACATGTATCGAAAATACTTGATGGAGCACAATCAGGCGCAATCGTACCTCCTTCGGGCACACACAACCCGGTCGATAATAAATACGTTTCCTACGTTATATAGATCGTGGCTATGTGCGCACGGCAGAGGGTTAAAAACTTCATCCACTGATAGATATTTATACGATGTGGAAGGAAGGAGGGCATTATTGTGCCTCGTTGAAACCCCCGTCGAACTCGTTATATAACGTGACGTGGACACATCAGGTAATTAGGAAGCGTCGCAAGCAGAAATGTTGGCTGCTGACTTTGAAAAGGTTTCACTGGTTTGTTTGTCGGTTTCTTCCTATCTTTCTCGCTCTTCGCCGAACCGGACAAAGAAAAAAAACTTCGCTTGTACGTTATTTTTAAATATACACATAACGCCCGCGGAACTATTTCTCCACGATATTCTACTTTCGAATGATCGTGTCCCGATTTGGATTTTCGCAACGCGTGGTGGACATGTAGCATGTTAAATCGTAATCGGTTCACGGATCGAATCCTGATTCGACCGATTCCAATATCGGGATCGGACACAAAGGCGACGCGAAAATGTTGAGTTTCGTGTGTACACGAAGCCTCTCGTTCCTGGTAAATTTTGTTGGCAGAGCTCGGTTGTCGAGAGCAGAGTTCGTTCCTGGCACCACTTACCCTTCGCCGTCCATCTCGGCCGAGCATTTCCGCCCCGGTGTTTTTGCTCGTTCAAAGGGAACGAACCTCTTAGCGGCGAAGTAGAGGGAAGCTAAACGGATACAGGGCCTAAATACAGTTACTTGAACTGTGAACGACGGAAAAAACTTTTCGCGTTACTCTTTTTGCAAGCTGTTTACCAATCGATAGACTTTCGACTGATAAAATTTCGTATTTTCATTCTCGAAAAATATCAATTACTAGCTTAATATTTGTTCATACGTGTATTCTAAAAATACCGAGATGTTAAAAAACGATAGGTAAGTGGTGATATTTTTTAAGAAGTAAAGAATTATAGTGATAGTTTCCGATAATCTAAAAAAAGATAAATGTAGATATCGTTAATCCCAATTATCTTTCATTCTTTTAATATTTACTTCTTTTTTCATTTTTCTTCAAAAAGGAAAAAAAATTTTTTAAATTTAAAAAAAAATAAATAAATTTACATTTTTAATTTTAATCGTTCTTAATCTTCGATTAATTATGATTTGATCAGCTTTATTAAACATTTTTCCATCGATTCTTCGTCTCTAGTTTAATATTTCGATCTAGTTTTCTCCTTTTTCTTCGTTCATTTGCCCTCTTTTTCTCTTCAGTTTCTCCGTAATCCGCCATCAACCGCCTATATACATACACTACTTTCATGTTCGATTCGTATATGCTGTCGTATATTCCATCGCTTCCTATGCAAAGGATACGCTCGTAGAATTCGATTGTCGTTCGTCGGTATGTCGAAAGTAAAAAAAAAAAAGAGAGGACTCGCGGACGAGCAAAAGAACGAACGAATAAGACTGTTAGCCTGGGAGCATTGTAGCGTCGCTACGACGAGACACGGTCGAATGTCATGAAGCGGAGTGTCGGTGCTGATACGATCGAGCTACGCCTTAAACTTTTCACCTCGTGCATATCGGGAATCAAAGGTAAAAAAAAGTGCCTCTTATGATTACGCGATTCGTGAGAAACCGTCTAAACCGTCTTTGTTTGTTAAAAGTTTCGCGTGTGCCAAAATTTACGTTTATTGCATGCATTTTTATCGTATCTTTCCCGACTCGAAAATTATTCGAAAATATTCGTTTGCGCACTTTTTTTTTTTTTTTCTTCCAAATCAGTATTACTTTTTGCATTTATATATCGCCTGTATTCCAGGTGAGGTCAACGTTTACGTCAATCAGGTATATTATCGTTGTTATCGTCTCGAAAAAGCTGGGAGCATTACGTAAGGGGAACGTTGAACGACTTTCCGGGCTGCGCGCATCTTCTCTAGGGGAGATAACGCGATAGAGGCGCTCCTCTTCTCTCTCTCGTAGTTGCCACCGGCTCGATCTCAGGAAACACGTGCACGCTGTGCACCACTCGCTTTTTCTTTTTTCGCGTCTGATTCCAC